ATCGGATCAAACAACTACAGTTGATATTAAACAACAACCTGTTTAATAATTAAATTAAATATTAAAACAATAAAAAAACAAAACATTCGGTTTTTTTTTCTTCAATCTTTCACGTGCCATTTTTTTCGAAGAACGTGTAACTTTGAAATTGGATAATGCTGTGAATTTTTTCTTTTCTTTGTTTTTTTTTTCTGCTTCCTATTACTTATATTAACAAAATGTTGCATTTGGACAACATTTTCTTATGTAGATTTTGTAAAATGATTGTTTTCAAGTTAACTTCCGAAGAAAAAAAAAAAAACAAAAAACAAAACAAAACATAGAACTTAAATAGATAAACTTCTTCTTTTCTTTTGTTTCAAGATATTAGTAAAAAAAGAAAAAACAAATGAATATAATATGTCGTACTATACTTTCTTCTCTACGTACAACAAATCGATTATATAAAAATCCCTTAATAACAGGTAGAATATGAATTCTAGGGTGAGTTTTGATGAAAAGAAAAACATCGAAAAGAAAATTTAAAATTAAACACTAAACTCTTTGAGAAATGAATTATCAAAGAGACGAATCGAAAATTGCAATTTTTCTTTTTGAATATTTTCTTATCTAAATTTTAATAAATTGAAAAGAAACTAGAACAAATTTTTCTAATTGAGCAATATTAATTTCAAAAATAAATGTATTCGAGTCTAAAAATTTTCATAATACAAACTGATATATGTTTCTTTTTTCTGTGTCGAGAAATAGTATATTGCATATATGAAAGTAATGAATTGAACAGTAAATCACATTAATACTTTTACAAAGACGATATAGAATTATGAATTATTTCAGGCAAAAAGGGACATATCTATCTTTCATTTGACTTTTGATTGTTTATGAGGATTATTTTCTAAATAAATTCTTTTAACATAGACATATGTAACAATGTTGAACTAACGCCTTGATTCGGAGTTTCTTAAACTCAAATATATGAAGTGAAAGTCGATGTTCATTTTCTCATCACATCACCAGCACTAAGTTTGAATTGATAACTTTTCTGAACAAAGGCTTCTAGCATTGATTATTTCAGAGTATTTAGAGTAATTTAACATACAAAAATTAGTTCTACAGAAATTCATAATCTTGAGATACATGTATTTTTCTTTTCCAAAGTTACATCGCTAACAAATGGTTGACTCATATATGTTTAATAATATATGTCATACTATAACTTGAATATTATTGAATTTGACTAGAAAATGGAGCTTAATTTTTTTTAGAGTTGAAAAAATTGTCAAAGAATTTTCAAATGAAATTCTCATTATTATAAAAGTCTGAGTTAGATAGACGTCTAATTATAGGTTTATGTTAGAAATAATTTAGAATAGAAAATGTCAATTTTTTTTTCTGTAATCTTGCTTTCTTTTTACATATCAATAGTAAAGAGAACAATTTAGAACTACGATAGGGTCAATCCGATCGTCGGACAGACGCCTTTTTCATCTTTTACACTACAAAATTTTTTTGTAAACAAAAAAATCTAAAAAATATGTTAATTATATCTTTCCGGTGTTTTTCAATCATGCTATGTAATTTATTAAATAAAGATATATTCTAATTTATTCTTTCACAGCTGTACGATATCATGGTGAATATGAATGGCAAGATCCGAAATCGGATGATGAAGTAGTGAATATTACTTTTATTAATAAAGATGGTAAACGTATTCCAATACGTGGTAAAATTGGTGATAATCTTTTATATTTGGGACATCGTTATACTGTTGATATAGAAGGTTATTAAATAAGAATGAATCCATTTGATTTCTATAAAATGTTTGTTGATTTCTTTTTATTTTTCTATTGAATTTTAGGCGCTTGTGAAGCATCTTTAGCTTGTTCAACATGTCATGTCTATGTAAAAGAAGAATATCTCGATAAATTACCCGAACCAAAAGAAGAGTGAGTAGAAGTTAGAAAGAAAAAAGTTCATGGGCGGTACATCAATACTGTAAATATCAGCAAAAATATTTAGAGAAGTGATAAAATCTTATTGCTTCTCCAATTTTCATGTCACCTGTGTATACTAGAATACGATTACTTCATCCATAATTTCATGATTTTGTCTATTGCGATATTGATGACGGCATGATATTATTTAAGTAATGAACAATAGATTTTCTAATTATTTTGAACATTTTGTACATGCTAACTGATATCGAAATTTTACTGCTGTATCCAGACTAATAGCCTGATTGTAAATCAACTTCCATTCGTCAAAGATTGATTATTTTGAAATAAAAATGTCTAAAAAAAAAACAAAGCATACTTGCCTATATATCACAATCAGAGACAAGATCATCTAATTGCTAATAGTAAAGAGTGAAATAAACGATCTGAAAGAGATCACTTTCATCTTCCTAACTGATTGCTACATCTATAATATTTTCGAAAAAAAGAATAATTTTTTCAATCTCAGATAATCTTTATAGATGAATACTAAAGCGAGAGTTTGATGATCATTAAACAGAAGGTAATGGCAAAAATAGCATGAGTTTTTCCTACATTATTTTTAACTTTTTGAGAAAAATTAGATTTAACTGAAAAACTTTTCACTGCTGGACAAAATCACAATTAGATCGGAGGGTGAAATGATCTCATATTAATATCAATTTGCTTTTCCTTAACAAAAAGACTATGCGCCGCTCCAAATAAAATATTTGTCGATGAATATTTTCTATTTTGATTATTGTTTTCTTTTATAGAGAAGAAGATCAATTGGATTTAGCTCCGTTTTTAAAAGATAATTCACGATTAGGTAAGTAAAATACGATATAAGAGTACATTGTATTATATAAATTGATGTCATCTATTTCTAATGTCTAATACCTATGGATTGTTCAAACTCTGTCTAATCATAATTTTTCTATTGTCAGTGAAATAGTTCGTTTTGTGTAAAGCTTTCAGAATACGTTCTACCATACATTTTAAAATGATTCATTAATTTCTTCTATTGTAGGTTGTCAAATTATTCTAAAGAAAGATCTTGAAGGCGCAGAATTTACTTTACCACAAGCTACTCGAAACTATTATGTTGATGGTCATAAACCAGCACCACATTAAATGAAACTTGTTATTTTTTTTTTCAATAAAGTTTATAGATATTTATAGATCAGTACAATTAATAAGTATGAAATGATTGTATTATCATGAGTATATTTTCTGGAAAAAATTTACATGATTTTTATAAACATCAATGAATTATTTTGACTACTGTCTAGTGCTTTCTTCAATACAACTAAGATTACATTATTCAATTACATGTACGACTGCTTTGATTATACAAATATTGTTATGTTCAGTCATATATCTATAGAATTTGGAATGAAGAATGATGGATTTGTCTACAATACTACTCGAGATTTCTAGAAAAAGATATTTGAATTACTCCTGATTTCAATAGTGTGCCTAAATTTTTATCAATCATAACTTAGGCTAATATTTTGAAGAGAAGTATCGAAGAGCCATCGAATTTTCATTTATCTTTTGTAGAATGTTCAAAGTTTAGAAAATTCAAAAAAAAATATTCTTTTGATTATCCTCACAACGATGAACATTATTTGTTCAACAAATAGTCTATTTCGAAGAGCATTATTCGCATGAACATTCCAACTCATCTCCAGATTGCTAATAGCAAATAACGTTGATGAATCATTATTCAATCAGTAAATGTGAAATCACATCAACTTTATAGTAGTAAATGAGTGTATACAGTGTTTGATTGGACAGAGCAGAGTTGGAATCAGACAGCTTTTTCTGTCCGTCAAAGATAAATTTTAAGAAATTTAAATTTAAAAAAAAAGTAACAGGAAACCACCGCTCCTAATCCGAACTGAAGATGCGTCGACTTCTCGAGTCCGACATCGACATAAATTAGTTATTCAGATCAAATCTGTTTCTTTTTTATCTTAACTGCAAAAAAGAAAAGAAAAGCAAGTTTATAACAAATCTAACACAAAAATGTAAATATTTAGTTTTCTTGAATCAGGTAGTTACCTAAGTAGAACAAGAAAATAAATTAATATGATCTAGGTTTAATTGAATGATATAGAGAAAACAATCAATCGTTTATAGTCAAGTCGACGGCCAGATATCTATTGAGTGCTTTGCAAACACATTCTTCTGACTTGAAAATGTCATAAAAACATCGTTTTCAGTAGAGAAAGTATTTGAGTGCTAACAACAATTTTGTAATGATGAATTGGCAAACGCTCAGTGCAGCTTCTTTTCCGGTCTTCTCCAGTCCAGTCCAGTTCCAACTATGTATCAGACAAAACACAATTAAATCTGACAATTTAGCTTTCATCATCTTCAAAAAAATAATCACCAATCTTAGATATCAATCTATATACTGTCTTACGAATGCTTTAAGTGTCAGTCAAAAACTGTATGAACAGAATAAATAATGGTGTTGTGCGTTTTTTTTATAGGGCAAACAAGAGCGAGAGTGTTCGATCAGCAAAGTATGTCTTTTCGTTCTTCGATAAATGTGAAAATTGGTGTTGCCACCATTGAAATTCGTTTCTTTGTATGTTGTTGGTCGTGAGCCAATAGTGAAAAAAATGACTTGCTTTTTATCTTGAAGGTTTATTTTTCTTCTCCTTGAGCATATAATGCTCAGGTAATTCGCATCAATGTAGAAGCTTTCGCTGTGAGAAAATTTACTCGTAATCGATGAGTACATGCCGGTGATAGATATAACAGATTCTGTGAGTATACCTTTTGGAACGTTGGATCATAATAATAATAAACATGACGATTATTTATTTGATATATGTAAAATAAATATGATTGCTTTAGACTTTATAGATGATAAATGTCATGCATTATAAAATATTAGAAAAAAAAAACAAAGTGGTTTTCTATTTCTTGTATAAAATCAAAAAAAAAGTCAATGCCAATAGTAGACAGAGAAGAATATAATAAAATGATTGTATTTTAATAAGAAACAATGAATCAATCTTTTTTTTTTGTGGCTACTACTGGTAAAAATCGTTCAATATCACATCGACCTAGTTGATAATCGACTGTTAGTTGTACCTAAATAAAAGAAAAACAAAGAATATAAATTTTAAAATCATATAGTTTACATGTAATTGTGTTGAATCAAATAATGGTAAATGAGGAACTTCATGTTGTTGAACAAGTTGAGGAATTTCTAAATCAAAAATTCCTAAAATTTATTTCATTGCTTTTCTTTGGTGATTATCGTACCTGTACAACCAAGTATAATGCCTTCAACTTGTTGTTCATCATATAAACGTTGCATAACCGATATATAAAATTGTTTTGATTCAGTAGTAAATATATTATTATTTAATTCAACAATAATAATTTGATGAAGACGATCTATATCATCATTACGAGGCAATACAATATCTAAGTCATGTTCTAAAAATCGTTTAACTACACAACTGTCTAATTTCATTGCAAATTTCGTTCCCAGAAAGCCGACCTGTAAATAAATGAATAAATCAAAATATGTATTAAAGTTTTGTAAACAAACTTTTTTTAATTTTTTTTCTTTAATAGCAAATGCGACAGCATCACTTATATGAATAAAAACAAGATTCGGATAGTATTCAGTTATTCGAGGTGCAGCAATATGACCTAAAATGAAGGTTAATAGATAGGCAAAACATACTAATAATATTTTACCTGTATTAGAAGCAATAATTAAAAAATCGATGCCACTTTTAACTAATTGATGGACAGCATCGAGAAGATTATCAACAACTTCAGTTGATTGATTTTTATTAAGTAATTCGACATAAGGAAAAATATCAACTGAAACAATATGAATACAACTACCATGGCCAGGTAAAGATTTGCCAACGAGTTCATTCATTTGATTGTAATACTGTATGAAAATATGAGTATTTGACAAAAAAAAGTATATGCTTTTAGTTAATCACTTACATCAGTTGTTGAGACATAAGACAAACCACCGAGAATTCCACATATACGTTGCTTCACTTTATTATCCATTGTGTTTGTGAAAATGAATACAAGTCAGCGTGAGGTAATGTTATCAGTTATCATCGTTACTTGACAGTAATCGAAAAAAACCTCGTCATACATTGTCAGTAGTTGTAATGATTCGACTATTTGCTTATAGATAAAGGAGATGTGGTAATAAAGTCGTTTTATTGCCTACGATATTCTCAACTTTTTTCCTTCCTTCCCCTTCCCCAAGGGTCTACGCAGATTCGAAACACTTCTGAAACAATTGTCACAATGGTTTTGATATTTGGATTTTGTGGAATATATACATTGAAACGAACTTTTGGATAAATACAATCGAACGTGTTATGAACAACTACGGCTAACAGCTTCTAGAAAGCAAAAACAAAAATGAAACATGACTTAATCAATTAAATCAGGCTATTGTTAACTGGATCAAACCATGATGCCCTTCTTTTCATCACATTCATGCACCGAACGTATATGTGCATATTTGTCGCTTAAGTATTACATGGGCATTAATACTACCACCATGCATACAGTGCACCACTCACACGTCGCATCAAATGATGATTGAACAGTCTTGTATGATTAAGCGTTGTTGGGGAATTTCTCAGCATACCTTATGTTGCCATCGAAATCACCAAAAAACGGAGTATGTTACTGTCATCGATACTTATCAGCAGTAAACATTGCTCGAAACACCGCACACGAGGACAAATGTCCATCCAAAGCTGAACGTGTTTCACTGAAGAAGAATGTATAATTGTGATCTTTTCTATTCTATCATGTTTAGGAATACACTGGGTTTTATAATTAAATATATATATATATTTACAACTAGAACAAGAACATCAACGATTATTAAGGGTGTGAGTGCGGGTATGAGAGTAGCCGAAGAGAAGATCGACACATCCACTCACACCCTTGCAACTCACTTGAACATCGACTGAATATTCGGTTCTTACTGTACAATATACTACTTTACAAGCTCAATCGATATTAATATCAAATGTATGTAAGAGGTTGGAGGTGAATGTCAGTGTCTATATCGGTTTTCATCAGGATATCACTGTGTGTGCCGTATAATACCTCTTTTTACCTATTCAACCAATAGCATTTATGCTCACACACCCACACTAATACCGACACGCATACCAACGGTCACATCGACATGCACATCCTACACATAAACTACACTCACATACACAGGACATCCTGCGAGTGACGCCCACTTCCACACTCAAACTCATACCACACGTACAAACATACCAACAACTACATCTGCACTTATATCCATATTCACACTTCACATATGATCGGATATTTGCTAGCTTAAAAACATCTGATTGGCTGGAAGTACATCGCAAAAAAGGCACCGTAAATAGTTAGTCTGCTGTTGAAGAATATATGTGGACAGTTGAATGAAAACATGTATAAGCACGACCACATCTTATTTTGTATGATTTTTCTTTTCATTGAGAGAATTAGCATTAACACCAGCTATCAAACTGATTCCATGATGGATTTTGGCAAGATTTTGATGAATGCAGGATTTTGACAATGAATGGCCACATTTCAAATGTGACATTCGCTTTGATCAGCATTGCTTTGATCAGACATTCGGGATCCATAGCTCGTCCGCCACAAACCTGAAGAGGAAGATTAGCGGTATAGCCGACGCGCATGTAACGATCTGCTAAATCTCGTGGAACGATTGCAAATAGGTGTGAAAGTCCACGGTCATGCAGACTACATAGAGTCAAGTTTTTGGTCCACGATTCATTATAACCCGATGGGATGTCATATAAACATTCATAGTATGGATTAATTAGAATGCGATCATTCGGCAGTTTTTCTGGTGAAGGTAATGGTTTAGCAAAGTATAGATCAGGCCGAGTTCGAACAATAAATTTGTACTTCATGTCATTGTTTTTTTCTGCCTTTTCGATATGATCCAAGCAACGTTTCCACTTTGAGTAACCAAGCCGGTCATCGATAGCACCAAGATGATCTTCAGAAGGAATCCATTCAATTTTGTATGGAGAAAGATAGTCGAACGCAACACTGTATTTATCTTGTGGATTGTATTTAGTCATGCTTCGATGGCTATCTTCAGTGTTCTTTTGAAGTTCAAGGACAACAAATAGATCGCCAACTAATATGTCTAGTACTTCTCGTTTGTAAGCAGTATATACTTCCTCTTTATAGAGTGTATTAGGAGCACCTGTCATACAATGAGCAAAATCAACTCTTTGGATTTTTCTCACATTCGGTGTTTGATGATGACAATGGGGACGACTTTTGATTGTGCGTAATATGAATAATAGCACGATGGTCTGGACAACACACAACACTTTTAACCAACTTATGTTTTTAAAGTTATCTTTGAAAAATGTCCACATCTGCAGTTCAGAGAGTTTTGACCATTGTGTATAGATCGACTGAGCTATTTCCACAACGTTTCCGTTATTCAATAGCATTGTAAACTGAAAATAAATAGAAAATCGTTCCTAATAACTCATGCTAATGAGTAGTTATCTTGAAGTTACTTATGGCTTTCGAACAAAATATAGGACATGAATAGAGTGGCGCAAGAAATCTTGAATCGCGAAAATATATGTGCACATAGACATTTTCAGATTCAAGATAGATAGATGAGTTAAAAAGAGGATAGTTGCCGATACTCTGTTTTTTCGAACTATTTGCAGCTTTTCGAAAGTGGTACTGTTTTGTCCCTGGTAATCCACTACTTATGAGCTAGTTACTAAGTAGGTACACATTGATGAGTCATCTATAAATCATCACTATTAGTGGTGACAAGTGATCACAGAAAAGTAAGACTTATCACGATTAGGAAAGTTTTCTGATATTTTCACTTTTTACGCTAATTATGCTAACTATTCTCCCAATCAACTAAAAAGCTGATGTAGTAGTAAAGACTTGATTGCTACAAAAGTTTAGGATTCTTTTTCCTCTTTTCTTAGTCACTGTGATCATCTTATAACTTATTTACATGAGCTAATGTCGAAACTATCGTGACTGCGTGATAACAAAGGTGGAGGCGGCTAACATATACTAGGCTTAAAGGTCGCGTATAAACATGAATGAAAAAGAGATAGAGCCGAACCATTCAAAAAAAGAAAAAAAGAATAATTATCTTTATTTCTTGCATCTATGCTGTTTTTACCACTGTTTGACTACTTTAGCGGACTTTGAGTACACTAAGCGTAATGAACAAAACAAGTCAAAACACTACCAAAGTTTGCTATTTCGGAGAAGTCTAGAACTTCTCTCAGATCGGCGACTTATCGCTTGTGGTACGGAATGACTCATCTATAAGTGATTGTGGATGAGACTAACTTTAGGCTCCGAAAACAGATATGGAACTGTTATAGTTGTTATAGACAGAATACACACATTTACACATACACTAATGTACCTAAAAACGAATGCCACAGAAAAGTCCGATGAATCTATTTCATCAAGATTATATACATGTTTTCTAGTCGTGCCAGAAAGGTAATGTTGAATTTTTCATTTTATCACATAGCTATGGTTTTTGAACTGAATATCATACTCAGTAAAAGAAAAAGTTTGTTTCAGAATGAAAAAATTGATGCCGACTAAGTGTAACATAGACAGAAGCTTTTTCCTGTTTCAACCAAGACACTATTCTTACTAGAGCGAATGGCTTGACTTTGCACTCTCTCTTCAAGGATTCAAGTGAATAGAAGGAACAAACATTCCATGAAAGAGCTTCGATGATGAAAAATTAGTTATAATTATTTAATAATTATCTCCCGCTATTTTCATAGACCCAAAAGCGTAAAGTCGCAATTAGACTTAGGAAAACGAAACTACATTTTCGATCTCCTCTTCACCGTGAAGCTTACTACTATATTCGTGGTATTCTTCTGCTAAAGTCACAGAAAGGGTTTTCGTGAAAGATGTAACTATCAGTATGAGGATGTCGTGAAAAGGAAGGCTACATCGACACTGCTATTTTTAACATTATCAAGTGAAACTTCGAAATAATCCAATTGTGCTTAAAGCGGTAGCCAACAAACTCAAGTGTACATACGATAGGTTTTCAACATCTACACTCGCTTGTTGAGCGAAAAGATGAAATCGCGCTGCAAAAAAAAAGAATCGTTGCGCAAACAAAAGAAAAAAAAAGAAAAAAAGCCTTGAGTTTGAAGGCAAATTAATATTTTTTGTTGTTTGCAGAGTAAAAAAATTGATCATAAGATTTCTCTTTCAACTATCAAACCAAAGGCGATGTTGTTTTTCTTCTGGGTATAGAGGGCGTTGATAGGTAGATGAGTTTGTGAGTAGACACATGGGTGTGGGTGACAATCTTCTCTTCATCTACGCCCAATATATATATGAGTATGACAGTACATATCTTCTTGATGAAAACACAGGAGTAAGTGAAAGTACAGGTTGCATTTGGATTTGCGCAGCTTTGCGTTCACATATTCCATATTAGTCAGTAGATAATTTACTAAAAGTTATTTTTATGCAATAGAATATACTTTGAAGTTTGGAACAAGTGAGATGAAATAATCAACATTACTCACAAGTATGAAAATGTATCTTAAAGCATTTTCGATGTGATTAGGACTATGGATCCGATTTATACATAAAAATACTTTTGGCAAAGAGGAGAAGTAGAATCACTGACGGTTTAACATAACGACCACTTTCATTAGCCTAAGTAAGTATCAAATAACTTGATGCGGTCCTGGTTCAATGATTCCAGCGGTGAAGTTCTTAAATTTCCGGCAGATTTCTTCTAGAAAGACGTCATTATCAGGAACAACACTCGAAAAATCGTAGGAACGTGAAAGCGGAAAAGCGATAGTTGGATTTTTCTAGTTCTATTCGTAACCAACAATAATCGGATAGACTCAGTCATCGAATTTGATCACTGAATTCTTGCTTTCAAATTTCTACTATTCTCACGAGTTTTTCAGCCAGAAACGATCTGTATTTCTTGACATAAGTTCATGTTACTTCTA